CAGAGGCATCCATCAGCTGTAGATGGATGTACATGGCATTCCAAGTTTAAATCTGCTTGAAGAGTTTAGAATCAGAAGTGAGGAAAAAAAGTTTCGATCTATCTCAGGGCTTAAATTTAGAGTAGAACAAGGAAAAAAAAATCTACAACGTATGAACTCTGTACTCTAATAAAAACAGATGAAGGGGATCATAAACTTCTAATTATTATTGTTTTTAATTCTAGTTTTAAGACAGTGTATAGGTGACATTAAGTCAGTATTTCAGACTGAAAATGCTATATTAAATACTAGTTTAATTTTTTGGGTATGGGCCTGTAACTTTTACAGATACATGCATACAGATAGGGTTTCTTCTCTTATCTTTCTCCTGAATTTGTGGCATTTCTGCTCCTAGAAATCTAAAACATAGGTCTCCACAGTCAGTTCTTTTTGAATCCTAATATACTCTATTTTCTTAAAGAGGTTAAAAAAAGTCTACCTCCCCCACCCCTGAAGAGGAATGGCAACCTCGTATCAACAGACGAGGAGAAGGCTGAGGTCCTTAACAACTCTCTTGCCTCAGTCTTCACTGGCAGCCTCTCTCCTCGCCCCTTCCCAGCTGATGCACTGCAAGATGGGGACCAGAGTGGGAAAGCCCCTCCCACAGTAAGGGAAGATCAGATTCGTGACCACCTGACCCTCCACAAGTAAGGTAATATAAGATTCGTGACCACCTGAAGAACCTGAACGTACAGAAGTCTATGGGACCTGAAGAGATGCATCCCAGAGTCCTGAGGGAATTGGCTGATGTCATTGGAAAGCCACTCTCCATGATATTTGAAAGGTCACGGCAGTCAGGCAAAGACCTTGGTGACTGGAGGAAGGGAAACATTGTGCGCATTTCTGTAAAGGGTAGGAAGGAGGACCCTGGGAACTACTGACCTGTCAGCCTCACCACTGTGCCTGGGAAGACCATGGAACAGATCCTCCTAGAAGCTATGCTAAGGCACATGGAGGACAGGGAGGTGATTTGAGACAGCCAGCATGGCTTCACCAAGGGCAAGTCCTGTCTGACCAACCTAGTGGCTTTCTATGATGGAATGACTAGATCAGTGGACAAGGGAAGAGCTATGGATGTGATCTACCTAGACTTCTCTAAAGCCTTCAACACAGTCGCCCACAACATCCTTCTCTCTAAATTGGAGAGATATAGATTTGATGGGTGGACTGGTCGGTGGCTGAGGAATTGGTTGGAAGATCACAGCTGGAAGGTAGTGGTCAATGGCTCGATGTCTAAATGGACACTGGTGACAAGTGGTGTCACTCAGGGGTCGATGCTGGGACTGGTGCTGTTTAACATTTTCATCAATGACTTGGTGAGATTGAGTGCACCCTCAGCAAGTCTGCAGATGACACCAAACTGAGTGGTGCAGCTGACACACCAGAAGAACGGGATGCCATCCAGAAGGACCTGGACAAGCGGGAGAGGTGGGCCTGTGTGAACGTCATGAGGCTCAACAAGACCAAGTGCAAGGCCCTGCATCTGGGTCGGGGCAACCCCTGTTATCAGTGCAGGCTGGGGGAAGAGGGGATTGAGAGCAACCCTGCCGAGAAGGACTTGGGGGTCCTGGTGGGTGAGAAACTGGACATCGACCACCAATGCGCACTTGCAGCCCAGAAGGCCAACTGTATCCTGGGCTGCATCACGAGAAGCGTGGCCAGCAGGTCGAGGGAGGTGATTCTGCTCCTCTGCTTGGTGAGATCCCACCTGGAGTCCTGCGTCCAGCTCTGGAGCCCCCAGCACAAGAAGTCATGGAGCTGTTGGAGCGGGTCCAGAGGAGGGCCACAAAAACGTTCAGAGGGATGGAACACCTCTCCTATGAGGAAAGGCTGAGAGCATTGGGGCTGTTCAGCCTGGAGAAGAGAGGGCTGTGGGGAGACCTTATGGCAGCCTTCCAGTACCTGAAGGGGGCCTGTAGGAAAGATGTGAAAAATGTTTTTAGCAAGGCCTGTTGTGACAGGACACAGAGTAATGGCTTTAAACTAAGGGACGGTAGATTTAGGCTAGATAGAAGGAAGATGTTTTTTACCCCGAGGGTGATGAAACACTGGACCAGGTTGCCCAGAGAGTTAGCAGATGCCCCATCCCTGGAAACATTCAAGGGCTGGTTGGACGGGGCTCTGAGCAACCTGATCTAGTTGAAGATGTCCCTGCTCACTGTGGGGGGGTTGGGCTGGATGACCTCTAAAGGTCCCTTCCAACCCAAAGCATTCTATGACTCTGTGGTTCTATGGATATAAAAAAGCTTGTGCCTGCTTCCTTTGCAGGACTGACTTTGTGCAGTGTCAGATTCGGCTTCTGGGTAAGGTATGATACAAAAAGTTAGTTTGCTTCAGTGTCACAAAGGCAGCAGTCTCTGGCTAAGGAGTACCTGCACAAGAAGAGATGCATTTCTTTCTGTTGTGGTTTTTTTTTTTTCCCTTCCTACTTGCCTGAGGAGAGCAGGATTTTCTCTCTGCTCTTCTGCTGAATGCTCCCAGAAAGCAGGACTCTAACCTTGTGCGTTGCACCCTTGTAATATATGTGTCCAAGACTCCAGTTCCATCGTGTCATGTACCTCTTTCACCTTCTTGTCACTGCTTTGACATCCTCAGCCAGGGATGACCGACTACCTTTATTTCTATTGCAGAGCAGGGCTGTAAGCTGGCAGCCCCTGCTATGCAGAGTAGCAAGATGCGCCTGATTTGTAGTGGCTATCTGTGCAACCATCTACTGTGCTCGGAGAGAAGGTTGGAAGGCAGAGCTGAGAGAAGCTGAGAGTGCACCTGGCACAGGCAGATTGGTTACATGTTGTGGGCATATCACAGCTTTGGCAGCTTGCAGTGTTGCATACCACTGGATCCACTGCTACAATAGCTGTGGGCACAAATGTGTCTGCTCAGAAGACTGTGATTCCTTCCACTTGAAGTGGGTTGTGTGGCCTTCTGTCTTCCTCTTTTTGTATGTCTCACCTCTTGAGCAATATCAAGACAGAGAACAAAGCCAAGGAAAATGTTTCTCTCTGCAGTATAGAATTTTTAAGGAAGAAGTGCAGGGAGGAGGCAGGGTCTTTCATCATGCACGTAAAGAATGGTGCCTCACACTTATTAGCAATGTGATCCATCAGGTAACAAGCTGCTAGTATTCCCCTCTCCCTTTCATTTCTCTAATATGAGCATCCTGTGTGTATTTTATGGCCATCATCAGCACTATATGAATAACTCTTAAACTGCTGGTCCTTTTCAGTCAGCTCTGACAGTTTTGTCGGGTCTTAAAGATAGCTGGGTTGTGTAACCACTGTGAAAGTAGGCGGCTGGGTAGAGGGAAGAGACAATGTGGGAGCTCAGGCTTTGAAACGGGAGGCTATGTGGCGGGGCAGTGGCCCATTAGGAGGCAGGAAGGCTTCAGCAAGAATTTCCACCTTCTTGGGAGCCCTGGCTCCTTTAGGAGCCAAAAGACAAGTATGTAATAAACAGGTATCAATCAAGGAACTGTTTATTGTTTTGTGGGCTATAATGCATTTTTCTCACGAGTAGTGTGGCTGTAGAGCTATATTGTTTTGTGTCGTGCTGCAGGGAGTGAGGAAATCTGGTCCCAAATAAGGAGGAGTTTGTAAGTTGAGGGCAAGGTTGTCTTTATTTGGATACATAGAAAAAGAAGTGGTTTTGCTGTCTTTAAAAGTTGTGGCACCATTGGAAGCTCTCTTCTCTTTCCTGTCTGTGGCATGGCATAGAGTCAAATATATCTTCTGAAAGTGTGCCCACTTAATAATGTGTTCTGGCCTTTACCAAATCACATTAACCTAGTGTAGCTATCTTCTGGAGCAATTCATTGATATTTTTTTTTTTCCCCCTTCTCTTTTTTTTACTTTTTAATAATCCCACTGTGAACTGTGGTACCAGCTGACAAATCCCAAAGAAAGCAGTTCTCTCTAGGTTAGGAGGAAAGAAATAAGAAGAGTGTATCTGACTTGCTCTTGGCAAAAAGGACCCCAAATGAATCTTTTAATTAGAGCAGTTTTGTTCTGTCTATCTGCCATGAACCTAACGAGCAATATGAGCTTGCTAAGGTGCAGCCATGTGACTTGATGGGAGCTGATTCTCTAGTGAGAGGATTAGGTGCTTATTTCTGGCTGTCTGCAGCCTGTGATGCTAACTAAGCACGTGTTGCTGGGTGTGTGAGAGCTCTCAGCCAGTCCCGAGTTACCTCTCCTTCTCTCATCTTTGCTCTTCCATCCCTTCCTGAGTATTGCCTCACCGATTTCTCTGCTCTTGATATTTCAGCTTGGGATAGATTTCACAAATTATGCTACATTCAGTTTCTGTGTGGTATTGTGTTTGGATCTGTAAATAACACAAAGTCTAAATGGAACATAACATTTTTCAGAATCTTGTTTTTTAGCAAATCGCCTGGGGAAGTGTATTTTGAAATCAGTGAAATACAAAAGGGATGAATAGCTCTGACCAAGAGGTCATCATTAAACTGGCTTGTCTCCAGCACTGCCATTTTACAAAATGCATTTAGTGAATTGTTTTGCCTTTAAAAAGTGAGAAGAGGGGTGGTGGAAGAGGAACCAGTCCTGGGGCTCTCGAATTGTGACAGCTCTACCATTTGTGATGTAGAAGCTATTTAAAATTATGTGGGGTGGGGAAGAAATCCAGCCTGCCACGCTGAAGCTGGGAAATGAACGCTGCCTTCTGCCCACAGGCTGAGAATTGTGACTGGAGCTGCAGTTGCCACCACTTAGTACAGTTCTCTTTTTGTAATGATGGCACCTGAGCAAAATAAATCTGAAAATCTTCCACTTTAATAGGTTCCCATTCTCATAATCTTGAATGATTTGGAAGACCCCATTTTGTCAAGAAACCTTTTTCTTTTTATTTTTGAATTTCACCTTGAATTTGATGTTTTGTCCTGTGGGCACTGATGTTAACATGACTTCTATATTGTACTTACTTACATGATAAATCTCTCTTCCCAGATCATTCAACTTCAAGTGGTACCTCCTCGTTTAAGCCCAGCCGATCACTGGTTACTATTCCCACTGCCCATGTGATGCCGTCTAATGCCAGCTCTTCACTTTCCAAGCACAGGGAGGCTTTTAAGTCTGATGGCTCAAAATGGAGTACAAGCTTTGTACGGTCAGGAGGAGGCAGAAATCAGGACAATTCTCTTGACATGAAAGGTGCAAGACCTGTAAGAAAATGGTCCTCCTTGTCTAAACTCAGCTCATCAAATACCTTCAGCCAAGATGGCAGTAGTCATTCAGCGGATTCCAGGGCTAGTACAGACAAAGCTGTGTCACCGCAATTACGGACAAATGGGCCGAGTTGTTTGCATGATAGCATGGAGTTGCTAAAAATTGAGGACAAAGAAATGGGGAAAAAACGATCTTCTCTACTGGACTGCAAATACAAATTTGAAACGTGCAGCAAAGACGATTTTGTTTCAGATTCCTCAAGTAGGAGACATGCCTTAGACTTGACCTACAGTGCCTTACCTGAAAGCAAACCTGCAGCAGCCAGTTGTGAAGCTTTCGGACAGCGGTACGCAACTCTGGGACAGCAGGCTGTGAGTGGAGCTCCCATACAGCCGGCAGTGAGGACTCAGATGTGGCTTAAGGAGCAGTTACGTGCAAATCCCCTGGACTGCAGGACTGCTGAGGAGCCCTACGGCCTAGCTGCGTGGCATGTGCAGCAGCTGGAAGATTTTAGAACAGGAGGCGAACAGCCTGTGCAGGTAAGGCTAAAGCTTGGTGGTTGCTGCCATCGTGTGGCATCATGTGTTATACCTGAGGAATAACACCAGGCAGTTTTTAATAAAACAAGAAGGGGAACAAGTCCTCTTACCCAGGTGATAGAGTTTTTAAACTTTAATGGGGGATGCTGCTGCTTGTTTCTCAGTATTACCTGAGTGGCAGCAGGGTGGTTTTTTTTTTAAGACTTCTGCTTACAGTTTACTCTGATTCATTGTGCCTGTTTACATGAGACTAGCATCTTTTTTTCTGAAAATGAACACAGTAAGAGGTTCATCAAATAGCATTTTCAGTAGCTCTTGAGAGAATCTTTGGTCGTAGTGTAGTGGGGGAATGTGAATGTGTTTTGATCTGAATGGATTTAGAAAGAAGCTGCATTTATACATTTACTGAAAGAGGTATGACTCCTGCATACTGCAAGGATTAATAAATATTCAGTATTACTATGCCTAGGACTTAAAAACTTAATTCAGTTTGATATTACTGCTTATTTTTTTAACTAATTAGAATCAACTAATAGTAATCAATCTGGTTTATTTAAATAGAATAATACATAGTTTTTGTGTTGTACTTTCAGATTTCATGTATTTCCGTATAGAAACCATCAAATGTGGTTTTAAGAGACAGCTAACCATTTCTAACACGACTATTCACGTTCTTTGTTTCCAGCTCTTACCCTAATGGGGAAGGATGGCTTGTGAAGGAAGGCAGTATTTAAAATCTAAATGTTCAGGTTTACCTATCTAGGTAAACTTGACTTGCCAAAAAAGTCCCAACAGAGTACAAGCTGTAGATTTTTCTGAAAGGCAGCTTAAGGTTAGAGTAGGACATTATCTGAGCAGAGATAATGTCGCTGTATGTGGAAATACCTGTTTCCTCCAACCAGAGGATACACCGAGTAATTTACGAAGAGTTGTGCTGAGATTCTGTTATTTCTTCCTTTGTGTATTGAAGGAAAGACTGACAAATTCAGAGGTTCTCAAGATCCAATTTTACTCTTAGTAGTGATCTTGACCTTAAAAATCTTGAATCCAATTAATATGGTTGAATTAATACTAATCCTTAAGGGTCTTTCTAAAAACCTGATGTTGTTCCCGGTAACCACCCTTTTACATTACCCTTATTACTACAGAAGCCCTCGCTCATCTTGCTCTAAGCTTTTTGAAGATTTTCACTTTGAGAAGCCACCGAGGTAGAGAGCTGAGGCTGAGGGGTCCTCTTGGAGCCAGAGCAGCAGAAGCTGGCTCAGTGCTGAGGCTGGGTTGGGGGCACGGCTGGTCAGGCGCTTGGCAGCTGCCAGTTGCACTGGGGACACACGAGGGGCTCAGGGAGGGACAGCTGGGCACGGTGGAGAACCTGAGTCCGTCCATTTGTTCAGATCTTCCTGGACACCTGTGAGACAGTACCTGGCTGCAGCCATCAGCGGTGCCATCTGTGAGGTTTGCGTGCAAATTGCTGTGCCTGGGAGTTCTCCTTTTGGACTTAAATGTCTGTTCAGAGTAAGCTTGATTTAATTCTTTCCTTCATTTAGATATATGTCTCTTCACCTTGCATGTGTACCTTTCACAACACTTTGTTTAGGATGGATGTTTCAGAAACTTCTGTTTAGGTCAAAACAACTCCCAGCTTCTGTTGTTCAAGTTTCACAAGCGAGTGCAAGAGTGATGAGCCTTTGGGCTCCTACAGGCATCCTTTGCAGGCCCTCCCTGTCTGCCCTGTCTCTCTGCCCAGAGTTACAGCTGTAGGGAGGAAGGGGTGCTGGAGAAGATGAAGAAAGGAGAATGGTTCTTCCTGTCTTGAGACCTGTGTGTTTGGGTTTGTTTTTTTTAAGAAACCTCAGCATAAGGACAGGGCAATCCTGGTTATATGTACAAACTGGGGGACGAGAGGCTGGAGAGCGGCCCTGTGGAAAGAGACCTGGGGGGCTGAGTTGATTGCAAGTTGAATAGGAGTCAACAGTGTGCCCTGGCAGCCGAAAGGGCCAGCCGTGTCCTGGGGTGCGTCAAGCACAGCATAGCTAGCCGACCGAGGGAGGGGTGATTGTCCCACTCTACACTGCAGGTTTGGGCGCCTCAGTGTAAGAAGGACATCAGACTGTTAAAGTGTGTCTAGAGGAAGGCGACCATGATGGTGAGAAATCTTGAGGGCAAGATTTATGAGGAGTGGCTGGGGTCACTTGGTTTGTTCAGCTTGGAGAAGAGAAGGCTGAGGGGCGACCTCGTGGCAGCCTACAGCTTCCTCAAGGCAGGCAGCGGAGGCACAGTGTTGGTGGTCTCTCTCTGGTGACCAGCAAGGAAATGGAGTGAAGCTACATCAGGGAAGTTCAGCCTGGACATTACAGAATCACAGAATCACAGAATAGTAGGGGTTGGAAGGGACCTCTGTGGGTCATCTAGTCCAACCCCCCTGCCGAAGCAGGGTCACCTACAGTAGGCTGCACAGGATCTTGTCCAGGCGGGTCTTGAATATCTCCAGAGAAGGAGACTCCACAACCTCCCTGGGCAGCCTGTTCCAGTGCTCCGTCACCCTCAGAGGGAAGAAGTTCTTCCTCATGTTCAGACGGAACTTCCTGTGCCTCAGTTTGTGCCCATTGCCCCTTGTCCTGTCACTGGGCACCACTGAAAAGAGCTTGGCCCCATCCTCCTGACACCCACCCTTCAGATATTTGTAGGCATTTATAAGGTCCCCTTGCAGCCTTCTCTTCTTCAGGCTGAACAAGCCCCGTTCCCTCAACCTCTCCTCGTAGGGGAGATGCTCCAGTCCCCTCACCATCCTTGTAGCCCTCCGCTGGACTCTCTCCAGTAGCTCTTCATCTTTCTTGAACTGGGGAGCCCAGAACTGGACACAGTACTCCAGATGAGGCCTCACCAGGGTAGTGTAGAGGGGAAGGAGAACCTCCCTCGTCCTGCTGGCCACACTCTTCTTGATGCACCCCAGGATCCCATTGGCTTTCTTGGCAGCCAGGGCACACTGCTGGCTCATGGTTAACCTGTCGTCCACCAGGACACCCAGGTCCCTCTCCGCAGAGCTGCTCTCCAGCAGGTCCACCCCAAGCCTGTACTGGTGCATGAGGTTGTTCCTCCCCAGGTGCAGGACCCTGCACTTGCCCTTGTTGAACCTCATCAGGTTCCTCTCTGCCCAGCTTTCCAGCCTATCCAGGTCACGCTGAATGGCAGCACAGCCTTCTGGTGTATCTACCACACCTCCCAGTTTGGTGTCGTCACTGGAGCAGGCTCCCCAGGGAAATGGTCACGGCACCAAGCCTGTCACTTCAAGGAGCATCTAGACGATATTCTTAGTGATATGGTTTAGTGTTAGGTGGTCCTGCAAGGAGCAGGGAGTTGGACTCGGTGATCCTTATGGGTCTGTTCTAACTCAAGATATTTGATGATTCTATAATTGTGCTATGATTTTTTTTTTTTTTCTTCAAAGATAACATATGTGCACCTGGGAACTGGTATGCTATTATTTATGAAAAACTAAGAAAACTACAGTCCAAAGTGGAATATATATGTAGGAAAGAAAGAGAGCAGAAAGCATAAGATTTTGCTAGAGGAAGCTGGTGATTTATAAAAGGGGGGGAGGAAAAACCCACCTCTGTAAAAACTTTTTTTTTTCCTGTTAGTGGGGATTATTTTTGTTATTTTGCTTTTAAGAAGTATGTATGCTGATGGAAATAACAGTGGTTTGTACAGGACTTAAAAAATGACACTTCATCATTCTTCTACTTTAAAACCACCATTTCCGTGAATGGAAAACAAAATGAACTTTGCTTTTAACTGAGAATCTAGAGTGACTTTATCTTTAAGGTAGGCTGGTAGATGGAGAGACTGTAGAGGGCAGCCATCATTAGTGAAGCAAAAATAGACCACAACAATATTCTGAGTTGATTTTGAGGACTGGTGGTTCAGGAACAGCTATTGAGTTTAATACAGTCTACAAATAAATTTTTATGCCTTTACAGATGAGTATGGACAGTTTACCCCTTCAGAACTCTGAATTAGGGTTTTTTTTTTAATAAAAGCAAAGAAGCTTTATGTTTAAGTTTACTGTGAAGGATAATGTATTACAGCCCTTAAAAGCTGTTCTGAGGTTAATTGCTCACAAATTAAGATTCTCTGCTTCCTTAATAGTCTGAATTTAACTGAACTGAGCATCTACTTTTTTTTGTTCCACTTTGGGGAGGAGGGGCAAATTAAAAAGCCTGTAATCTGGCTTTTCTATTCCAATTGTAAACCACGATTTTTAAAATAAAATATTACTGTGCATTGTAAGGGAAGCTCAGAGTGTCGAGTAGAAGACCTACAGCTACGTAGAGATTCTCTTTCAGGACATGGTCAGGTTTGTAACTGCATAAAAGATGCTATGGATAAACAGAACACCTCTTCAGAGAAGGTGCGTTGTTCAGCTGTGGGTGTGCTGTTTGTACGTTGGGAAATAAAGTCTATGGTTATTGTGTAACTAACATCATGGAGTTGTATATGAAAAATCCTTTCTTTAGCTAATGTGTACTACTTAATGTATACTTTTTGAAGATAAACACTCCTACACATTTCCCAGGAACAGATTTTAACAGTACTTCAATGAAAATAATTTCTGTGTAGAATTTATATTTCAGCATACACTCAATTATTTTCAATGTACAGCTCATCTTTCAGAAGACATGACCATCATTGTATCTTTTTTTTTTTCTAACATCCAAAGTAAGGAATTGTGTGATTAGGCCTGTGTTAAGGGAAAAAATGCTCATAATACATGACAGCGGTTCCCATTTACTGGTATGGGAGGCCATACAAATCTGAATAAAAAGTCTGTATGTTTTCATGTAAAGACATTTCTTAAAGATTGATCCTATTATCTGTCATATTATCTGAATGTACCTAGGTACATACTGTATGCTGGTTCAGAAATGAGGTTTAAAATGAAAGCATGCTTTTAAAATTGTGGGAGAGAATACAGCAAGAAGGCAGGTTTCAGAATAGTG